GGGGGCCGGTTTTTAAAAAAGGGGAACCCGGAAACCCCGGGGCGGGCCGGGGGTTTCCCCGGGTTTTAAAAAAAAAAAAATTCAAAAAAAACCAATTCCCGGTTGGGGACCCGCCCCAATTCGCCCCGGGTAACCCGCCCTTTTTTTTTTTTTTTTGAAATCCCCCCCCCCCCCCCCCCCCCAATTTTTCTGTAATGGATACGTAGGCAACTTCATTTTAAATTCGAAATCTTTAAAATTTTGAATTTAAAATTAAGTTCAAGTCTTTTCATTTATTTCCTTTTCCTTTTTCTATTTAAAAGTAGTTCTTTTAATTTACTTATTTATCAAATATTTCAAAAAAAAAAAAATTCAAAATTTCCGGGCCGACCCGGAACCGGCCCGAACCGGCGGGCCGACCCGGCCCGCTGAACTGTCCATACTACGGGCCGGTTCCGGTTCCGGAAATTGTGAACCGTGAACCAGTTTGAACTGGCACGGAACCGGCCCGAACCGGCACGTGGCCGTGTCTATAAGTGACCACCATAAAAATGGTCTAAGACAATAGTAATATTTATAATAAAAAAATATATTTTTATTAAAATACCCTAACAATTTCTTATAAAACGGTTATTTGGGATACAATCAAATAGCCATTGCCCCGGAAGACCAACATAAAGCTAACGTAAGGAATTTACCTAAAGAACGAGGCACATTCATAAGTGATGATGCTAATATGTAGCTCACCTAGGGTGGTGTAGAAAACGAACTGGGAGAGCAAAGCAGATCAGTAGCTTGACAACTTGATGATCCTGAGCTACCTGCGATCATAGAACACATGAACTATAAGCCGGGGGTTGATCCGGCGGAAACCCCTCCGACGCTCAAGTCAAACGTGCTGATCATAGAAATAGTCCAGAGAATACATATTATAGTATTGCTCAGTTAATAGGACGTATCTAAAGGAATGAGTTCAAACCTTTATTTTATAGCTTAGTTGAGATTGTCGGACCCAAACCTTACTTGAAGGTGATTGGGCCTCGGTGATAGTGGTCTACGATATTGGGCTCGTGGCCCAGTAGGTAAATAATTTGTAGGCCCATTGAGTTGGGCCAATTAGGCATATCAATAAGCATGACCCGTTGATTAGATTGTTAGGTAAACATAAACAATCTACATGGTGTGTGGCTTCTCACAATAGCGATGAGTTTTACGTACGGATGCTTTTAGTATATCTTTTCGTACTTAAGAGCAGATAAATTTTATTCGGCCTTTAATTTCTAGGTGCAGTATAGTGTCAGTCTATCTTATCGAACAGTATGTCGAAGAAGTTATGATAAAGTTAATACCAGGATGATTCATTATGTGCCTTTAATGCAACATAAACATAGTTGTAGTAGTAGTAGTAGTAGTAGTAGTAATAATAATAATAATAATAATAATAGCCCGCATGGGTGTAAGTCAACTAGTTCCGCGTGATAAGTTGGTACAAGATCCTAGGATCGAATCCTCACACCTGCAGTGTGGAAGTTTCAACTCCAACGAGGATTGGTTCCTTGTGGGCAGTGTGTGTGATGTAGCTCAACTAGTTTCGGGGGTAATAAGTTGGTACAAAGTCTTATGATCGAATCCTGACAGCTGCAGTGTGGGAATTTCAATTCCAATGAGGGTTGGTTCCTTGTGAACACCAAGCGTGTGTTCGCTACCCTAACGGGCCGTTGATGGGGGCCAATGGGGCGAGAGATTTTGCCTTAACAATATATATCTATATATTACTTTTTATAAATATATACATAGCTTGTTTGATGAAATTTTAAGATATAGTTGGAACTAGAAAAATTCTATTAATTTAGCAAAATATTAAATTATCGAGTTAATAATTTAATACATTTTTACCAACTTGAGACCGGAAAAAATTATTATTCAAGCCAGGTTATTAATTTATCGAGGTTCTAGTGTATGTGAAGAAAATAAAAATAAATTCATTATTGTATATTATTATTTATTAATTATTACTACTAGGGCTCATTTGATGTTAACGATTATTTGTCATTCATATATTTATTAGATATTACATATATTGATGTAAGAACCTCAAAAGTTTAAGGAATAAGGAGATCAACTTTGCTCACAAATGTAGTATGGAAGCCATGGGGCACCCTCCCAGGTAGCTTAACAGCAGCAATAACTTCAAGGCTTGGCGACTTTGCGTTCATTACAATGAACTTCGATTCTTTAGTATTCTCATCATGTACATAAACCAACAAATAACCATCGTCTTCCTCCGCCGTCGGATTGTTTGCCTCTCTCGCGACAAATATTGGTTCGCTCCCGTAGCATCCAGGCCCGTAAATCCGGCTGGCCACCACCGCAGAGTCGCCCGAATATTCCTCACATAGTGACAAATCTAACTTCACCACACCAACCATCTTTGGATAGTTCTCTATTGCTGCTGCATACATGTACCTGCATGTATATATTAATTGTTCATGCTTGAATTTATAACAAAGTCATGAATATAGTAATATATTTTTATACTAGCTCATTAAATTAAACCTGTTTTTCTTGCCGGCGTATTTAGGATTAATAGCACCGAAGTCGATGCTTCGGGTCGAAACAATACACCTAACTACCTCCTTTGTTTTGGTATCAATTGTAATCTTTTCCAACGATAAATGTGTTGAACTTCGTCGTTCCAATAGATTAATCTCAACTGGCAATATATTAGTAACCACCATCACGATTTTGTTACACGTAGCATCATCGTCATCTTCCCATGCATTAATTACGTGCATCATGTTCAATCCAGGCACATCAGTCCAATACATTTCACTGTCATCAGTAGCATATCGCGGAATAACGCCAAGTCTCGGAGTTTTTTCAGGATCGACCCTAAGTATTTTCTTTCCCCTCATTATTCCCAAAGGGTCAATCACAAGTTGTGCATCGAGGAATACGGCGAATCTTTTCGTCACGGCAAAGTCATGCATATACGACGTTACACCCTTGATAGAGAATATGGACACGTCCTTTTGTTTCCTCCCATTAGGATCGATTCTAAAAAACGTCAAAAATGGAGGGATAACATTGTACCTAAAAGCGAATGCTTCACCTGTGCCGGCATCGACTTTCGGGTGGGCCGTCATATTCAAGAAAAGGTCGTTATCGCTACTGTGAAAATCATGACGGCCGATCGTGATTATATCTCCGTCTGGGGATATTTTTATTGCATACGGAAGATCGGATTCTATCATGGCGAAAAGACGTCCAGCGAATTCAAATACACTAGTATTCGCCGTTCCGATGCCTGTGGTGAGAGGATTGATCTTCCCACCAATAATAAATCTTGCCAAAGTTAAAAGTATGAAGCGTACGCTGTTACTAATGAAATACGCAACGGGGTTAGGGAAAAACGGATAGCCTAAATCGCGCTCCATTATATACTTGTGAGTCTTTACGAAACGACTGCAGAAGATGGCTTTGCCGCCGCCGGAGAATTTGATGGAATGGAGCATTCCGTCACCGTCGGCTATGTAGTAGGGCCCACGTGGGATGAACTGAGGATTGGGGCCATTTTGGATGTAAGCGCCGCCTTCCAGGGTGGGGGGCAGAGACCCCTCCACCACTTGGCAGGCGGTGGGTGGAAGCTCTTCCACTGGATAAAAGTTGCCGGAAAGTTCGTGTTTCGGGTCGACATGCGGGGAAAGAGAGGTGTTGATTATGAACTTGCATATGAAATCATCCAATACCTTAAAGATTCTTTCATGTGAAGAGTAATGCTTTGATCTTATTCCTCTTGTTGTAGTACTAATTATTTTTTTGTGATTAATCTTTGACTGACAACTGTGAATTGTGATTTTGGTTTGGAAATTCAATGATGGATGGAACTTTGGAAGCACAGAGAGAAAAAGAGTAGCCATCGTATCAACTCTTTTAGGTATTACAAAGGAAGTAGGTGTGACTTATTATTTTGAGGTCTCATCATATATATATATATATATATATATATATATATATATATATATATATATATATATATATATATATATATATATATATATACACACACACACACACACACACACACACACACACACACACACACACACCCTCACACTCAAATATAAATATATAAAAATATATATTTCTAATTCTCAAACTATATCTCTACAAAATATAAAAAATATATATATATATATATATATATATCTCTATCCCAATATCATATTTAATAATAAAATTTTCTAAAAAAAAATATATATATATATATATATATATATAA